TCATCGCAATAAACTCCTATATTTCATTACACAAAGGCGGTTTCGCTCCCAATTCATTATGAGAATTGAACTTGAACTTGACGCCTTAGAAATAAACTTCGTAAACAAGTATCGCATCTCGGCAACATTCTTCAGCAACATTGTCCCTCATCCGAGCACCATCCATTCCTAATTATACATTCTTCTGTCGTGTTTTACGGACAGAGTGCCTCAAGTGGAAAATTGGAATTGTATACTGTCGTTTTTCTGACAGGATATTAAAACGTTGGTGAAATATTTAATTTTCTGCTAAAATTGCCGTCACGACTTAACCTGGAGTGTACCTGATGTTTGTATCGTGAAAAGAGAATAAAATGTTGTTGATACCGGAGCTGCGGGGGCTTCCTTTTTAATAATTCATGACTAGGATACGGATTATAAAATTACAGGAGAGATAAAGTAGGAAGCTACTAAAAATATTAATGTTTTATTCAGCCCACAATTTCATTTTACTAGACCGGGTTGAACACCGAACCCTGGTGGAGGCGGGCATTCGCACAGCGATGTCAAGCCGCATATCGGTTCTGATGCATATCTGCCGTTTCTGAAAATCAATACAGACCTGTTTCATCACTTGCTGATAAAGTCTTTGATAGCCTATCAGGAACTAATATGTTAAATTAGCGGCCGCCCGCGACTTCGTACGCGTGGATCCCGTTTTACCTCCTTTATCTATCTTACGCGGTTTAGATTTTTTCATACAAATGTTTTTTCCCGCTAACTCCCGTTCCCGTGGGAATTTTGCAATATCCTATTGTAACTAAGTTTTAAGTTTACTAAGGTACCTGCATGCCAAATTTCAAGCGTCTAACTTAAGCGGTTTAGATTTTTAATACAAAAGGATTTTCCCGCTAATTCCCGTTACCGTGGGAATTTTGCAATATCCTGTTGTAACTAAGCTTTAAGTTTACTAAGGTACCTGCATGCCAAATTTCAAGCGTCTAACTTAACTTAAGCGATTTAGATGTTTCATACAAAAGGATTTTCGCGCTAATACCCGTTTCCGTGGGAATTTTGGGAATTCCTTTCTTAGTGCACCTCTACGGTACCTAAGCTACGTCCCTTCCAAATTTCAAGTGCCTACGTTTAGACGTTTAGGCTGTGCGTTGATATGTCACTAAGTCAGTCAGTTTCTCCTTTTATACATACATATAATTTAGATAAACTACACCTTTTCGGACCACAAGTATCTAATGCCTAGATTTGTAATAATTTATGATGCATATAATATTATTGATGTGATTCATAAGACATTTTAAAAGTCTACTCACTGAGGGCCACATGGTGGAATCTTCCCACATTTTAGAGTCTGTATAATATTGTACACGTCACACACATTCACGTCCTCCTGGAAAATAAATCAAAAATGTTACAGTATTGGACTACAATTTACTACAAATGGATAAAAATATAATGTGTTTACTTTTATTAGACGTTTAGATACTATCGTGCGACTCAATCATGCTTCCCTATCAATGAGTGATGTTTTTCATTTTAGAGAATCAGTTTGATTCAAGTTTTTTTTTATCCGGAATTGAACCCAAAATACTCATGGGTGTTTAGATTTCTGAGGGTTTAGTGTGAGTTTACATCAAACGTCGTCACTAGTAAGCGCGTTAAAAAAATATAATGAAGATTTTAGTTCTTGAAAGTTTCCGCTAAGAGCGCTGTACATCCGTCATACATTAAGGCTGAGTTGCACCACCTAACTTTGACCGTGAATATAACGATCCCATCAAAAACAATACTTGTCAAAAAAAACAAGTCTNAACATATTTGTAATATTACTGGTTAATGATTGTAACGAGTTGAAAAAGTACTGTTTTTGCGCCAAACGGCGTAAACGCTCTTAAAAAGGAGCTCGGAAAGTCAATTTTATCTGGTAGGACTATAATAAATTGATTTCGGGACTAAAATAATGTGGATACCTACTTCGTAAGTTACTGAAAATGTTTAAAAATGCGTTACAAGCAAATAAACAAACATGAAAGTTACTTTTTCAGGAATATTAAATTAATATTTTTCGCACACGGTCTACGACATTTCGTTACAGATTGATTGAAACTGTGCAAAAGATAAGCCTTAAGAGCGTNAGACAAATAATCTTATGGTATAGTGTGCTTACTTACGTGCTGAAAGAACACTTTCACAGAAAGAAGCAGTGGAAAGGGGGAGCGAGAGGCCTCAGCCGACACTCCGGTTATCCGCCGCCGACACCCTGGGCGCAAGAGGACAGCTTATGGTCTCCAACTTTCCCTTCTTAACAGGCCTCGGTCGCTAGACATGGAGGTGTCTGGTGGCGGCTAAGGACAAATGCTACAGGCAACAGCCAATGGCGATGTCCCGCGTTCCCGCATATCACTCATATGGATCATGGCAGAAACAGTCAGGTTTTTAGTGGGTGTAGGGGCTACCCACCTTCTGGTAGGAAGAACCCCACATAACCCACTAGCTGCCCCCGCAGCTGGTGGGTATGAAATGTTATGCATTTTCCGGATAAAAAAAGAATAGCAAACAGGAAAAGTTTGTTTTGAATAGAACCGATTTGAAAAAATCTCTCACCATTAAAATTCTTTTTTTTTTTCTGCTGAACATAGGCTGTATAAAATATTCTCAAAATAGTAAAAAACCTTTGATAATTTACTATTTGATAAAGAATTTACGTATTTATTATTGATTAGGACTAATGTATACCATTATTTATAATTATAGAGTCGGTGTTGGAAGATTTGAAGATTTTATAGTTTCTTTGGGCTGTCACTTGACAGCCTGGCACACTTTTACGATGGTGGATCAAAGTATTTTGGTTTGACTATAGAGCGTGAGAACACGCACACAGTCACAATTATTTTAGTGTGAATAAAAATAGCATCGAAATTACCTAAACTTGACATGCCACGCTAGACGTAAACGCTCTTAATTGTGCCGTTTCTTTTGTGTATTTATTTCTTTTCTTGTCTTGTGTGGTGTTCAATAAAGTGTCGCTCCCATACCTCAGGCACTGACTGAGTTAAGCGCTAGGCTGGTACCGCATCAGTCAATACATAGTTCATTTTCATCATCATCATCATCATTTCAGCCATAGGACGTCCACTGCTGAACATAGGCCTCCCCCAATGACTTCCACATCGCACGGTTGGTAGCGGCCTGCATCCAGCGCCTTCCTGCTTGCTACCTTTATCAGGTCGTCGAACCACCTTGTGGCTGGACGTCCCACGCTGCGTTTTCTGGTATGCGGCCTACATTCCAGAATCTTGCTGCCCCATCGGCCGTCAGTTCTGCCTACTATGTGCCCTGCCCACTGCCACTTCAGCTTGCTAATCCGTCGGGATAATTTATTTTAAAAGCTTGTAAAAAAAATGCAAGACCGTATATTTTATGTTACAGTTCGGTGTGCAGGGCGGCCTCTAAAGCAATAACAACACAGCCACGACGTCCGGCCGCCATTAACTACTGCATTATCTCGTCCGCCTCCTTCCAAATATTTGGACGTTTTATTTCCCGTCACTGTAAGCTCAACCGAATTTAGTTATTGTTTAAATATTTTACTGTGGATTTTATTTTCTGCACAATAGTTTCACGGGAAGGTGCAAAACAACTTGGATATTGAAACTGAAACTGATACTCTGTATATTACAGAAATAAGAGTTGTGATGTCTAATTCAACTGAAATTACCAACTATTATTATCTAAAAAGTAGAATTTGTTGTATTGCCAAAGAAAGCATTTAAATTTTTCGTCTCAAAATAAAAATAAAACAAAAATTATTCAGTACTTAGGCTCTTTCCAGAGTACTTGTATACGACTAAGACATTTTAAAACAAAACACCTCTATTTTCTCTGCGTATAAAGAAAAATAGAGGTGTATTTCAGTTTTCCCATTACTTGATAAAAAATAACAAGTAAAAAAAATTGCCAAAAACAAAAACCTTTATTTGTTCGATTAAAAACTGTGCAGAGGAAATTTGTTCTCGACGGGGTCCATTATTTCCCATAATTGAATTTCCCTTACCTGCATGTTAAACTGATTTTCGACATAACTTCGAAAGAAGGCTTTCACATTTATTTTGCAACTTTTGTCCGAGTTTTATGGCGTAAATGCGAAATTTCGGAGCGCATTTTGCTGGATGATAATCGAAAACACTAGTGTGAAAATGCTTTTTAAAATCCAGCTTACTGGGAATAAATTAATTTTATGAATGGTGGTACTGGACATTTTTTAAAAACTGTATTTTGCCGCTGATCTTTGTATTTATATAATTTGGGTTTCGAGCCTCAAAAAAATGACGTTAACAGTCCAACACTGAAATCTTTCTGAACCATTGTCGCTTCGTCAGTACGCATGCGGTGACGTGATACACATAATAATAGACATAAAACAAAATAAAAAGCATTATAATTTCACATAACTGCAGATATTTATATACCTATTGAATGTTTTGTTGCTACAAAAGTAAACTGCCACTTTATTATCAATCTCGTCATCGCAATAAACTCCTATATTTCATTACACAAAGGCGGTTTGGCTCCCAATTCATTATGAGAATTGAACTTGAACTTGACGCTTTAGAAATAAACTTCGTAAACAAGTATCGCATCTCGGCAACATTCTTCACCAACATTGTCCCTCATCTGAGCACCATCCATTCCTAATTATACATTCTTCTGTCGTGTTTTACGGACAGAGTGCCTCAAGTGGAAAATTGGAATTTTATACTGTCGTTTTTCTGACAGGATATTAAAACGTTGGTGAAATATTTAATTTTCTGCTAAAATTGCCGTCACGACTTAACCTGGAGTGTACCTGATGTTTGTATCGTGAAAAGAGAATAAAATGTTGTTGATACCGGAGTTGCGGGGGCTTCCTTTTTAATAATTCATGACTAGGATACGGATTATAAAATTACAGGAGAGATAAAGTAGGAAGCTACTAAAAATATTAATGTTTTATTCAGGCCACAATTTCATTTTACTAGACCGGGTTGAACACCGAACCCTGGTGGAGGCGGGCATTCACACAGAGATGTCAAGCCGCATATTGGTTCTGATGCATATCTACCGTTTCTGAAAATAAATAAAGACCTAAGTATTCCATCACTTGCTGATAAAGTCTTTGATAGCCTATCAGGAACGAATGAGTTAAATAAACTACACCTTTTCAGACCACATTGTCTCGGATGCCTAGATTTTCAATAAGTTATGATGCCTACTGTGATTAGTGATACTTTTTTAAAAGTCTACTCACTGAGGGCCACATGGTGGAATCTTCCCACATTTTAGAGTCTGTATAATATTGTACACGTCACACACATTCACGTCCTCCTAGAAAACAAAACAAAAATGTTACAGTACCTATTGAATTACAATGAGGGTTTTGGCGAATGAAAGATCCTCTAGATGGCGGGACGTGGATGTGGGGTCTGACTGCTGCGTGATTGGTGGATTTTGACATATCTGTCAATGTCATGTCAAAAATACCCAATCATGCAGCATTTGGACCTCGCGTCTACGTATTGCCATCTGGCGGATTTTTCATTCGCGAAAACCCTCATTTACAAATTAAAATGAGATGAAAATATAATGTGTGTTTACTTTTATTAGACGTTTAGTTACTATCGTGCGACTCAACCACGCTTCCCTAACAATGAGTGATGTTTTTCATTTCAGACAATCAGTTTGATTCAAGTTTATTTCATCCGGAATTAAATATACTCATGGGTGTTTACATTTCTGAGGGCTTAGTGTGAGTTTACTTACATCAAACGTCGTCACTATAAGGAGCGCGTTAAAAAAATATATGAAGATTTTAGTTCTTGAAAGTTTCCGCTAGGAGCGCTGTACAATCCGTCATACATTTAATGACACTTTTTGACGCAGTCGACATCGAATGTGTTTGAGGTAAATTCGCACTACGCCCCCTGACTATTACTTCACGGTGTCGCTTGACTTACATAGTAATCATCATCGACAACAAACACGGGTGCGTTGACACAGGCCCCCTGGCACTCCACAGTATCCACCCCGAACATGCCGTCAGAAGACAGCTGCCCCCTCCTCAACTGCCCTCAAGATAGATGATATCATGTTTTTACACCACCCATATCCTGCTTAGGAAGTGAACCCAGAACCACTGCGACAAGATCGTTTAACTTACATAGTAATCATCATCAACAACAAACACGGGTGCGTTGACACAGGCCCCCTGCCACTCCACAGTATCCACCCCGAACATGCCGTCAGAAGACAGCTGCCCCCTCCTCAACTGCCCTCAAGATAGATGATATCATGTTTTTACACCACCCATATACTGCTTAGGAAGTGAACCCAAAACCACTGCGACAAGATCGTTTAACTTACATAGTAATCATCATCGACGACAAACACGGGTGCGTTGACGCAAGCCCCCTGGCACTCCACAGTATCCACCCCAAACATGCCGTCAGAAGACAGCTGTCCCACGGAGCAGCAGGTCGCCTCTTCAACCGCCCTCAAGATGATGTCCGACCCTCTGATCATGCAAGGAGTGGTGATGCAGACCTTGACGTTGAACTTGCCTCGGAAACGCCTAAGAATGACGTAGGTAAGCATTTAAAATCCAACCTCTTTCAAGCTTCCAAACAAAATCATACAAATACAAATCCTGTGGGCACGTAAAAAAATGATGTAAAACAAATTGTTCTCACGAAAATGAGGCGAAGAGTTTTTGTGCTCGTTGATTCTATGATTTTATTGATAAACAAAGTAACGTAAATAGTCCGTCCCCGTGGAAATGTTTTGTAAATATATATTTGTTACAATAATTTAAATAACGCTAACGATCACCTGGGAATTATGTTTGTTTAGTCTTCCAGGTGAAAAATAAAGTCTGGCTTTCATTATTCATTTAATAATATTCCAAAAATATTTTAACAAGCATCAATCACATTGTTATTTTTACCTCGGAGTAATACAAACAATGATATTCGTTCTACATAGACATCTGAAATGAAGAAACTTTCGCCCCCATTTTCAATAACATCATGAGAAGAGCTATCAATGTGTTGATATAAATGCAAACGTCATTAATGAAAAACAGGAAACCGATTGTATAGGTTGCGGTTGCTCACCCACCTTTTGTTCATGGTATAAAACGTAGCCCATTCATAAACACGCACTCTAGGGATGCTCAGTATCTCGGCCACTTTGTGCATGGCTGATATGGGAATCCACCCCATCTGCCTTTGTACGATGTCCAGTGCCGGCCCTAGAGCCGACCTTTGGGCTCCTACGGGGTAATTCTGAACCAGGGCTGCAATCCTCTGAAACAAAATAACACAAATCATTAAGAATTTGATGTAATGCACTGATGAGTATAGATACTGACATGTCGGTCTCCAAGTGATACGGTTTTTTAATTTTTTAACAGTTTTTTTTTATATTTTCCACATAGATGGACGCAGGGCAATATTCTACAGGGCTGCAAGAAACACGCGTGGGTATTATACTTGGCAATAAAAGTTTGGTCACGTGCTGGTTGCCATTTCTTAAAGCAAAGTTTGCAGTAGGCCTTTCCTCCTCGAAAAATAATTAAAATTTGCGCAAATACTGGGAGCAGTCAAATTATAGCGATATTTTTTTAATTTGATCAAGTTTGAAGTCTAACCTTATGCCTTTAACTTTGAGAAATATAAATATCGATATGGATATTACTCTAATTTATATACTCAGCTCTAACTCTACTAAATGATACTGGAAGTTATATGAATATTAAGACTTTTCCAAAGTTAAATTCCAGTTTTACAATGTGAACGACACAATATTCGGACATAATAAATCCCATTACGAGCAACCGTTCACCTTGGTGACCCCGCACCAAATCCTGACCGTATTGCATCCCTAGGGAACATTCAATCGGGATAACAAATCGTCTAAGTTTTAATGTGGGTCCTAAGTTACGTCAATAAAATACAATCTCTTCGCTAAAATAGGTGGGTAGGAACTACTACAGAATTGGGTGATTGAATTAGAGTACCTGCTAAAAGGTTTCTCAGTGCTGAAATTATTTCAATCTCAGCACAAAGTTAGTGGGTAAGATGACAATGCAACATCATGACGTCATAGAGCTGATCATCTGATGATAGAGTCGGAAAGTGGCCATAAGAACTCTGACGAAACGATGAAGCCCTGTCGAGTTTGAGCTCGTATGATTTGTCGTGACAAGTACTCTGGTTTTAGATGATATTTAGGCGTTTCGCGTGAATTTAAAGTGAGTAAGTAAGGTATTTATTTACAAAAGCAATAAAAATAGTTCTCCAATAAGCGCACATAAAATACACGTTCTACTCTTTCTTCCACCAATAGTTTCGTTTCCCAAACTTCGGTCACAGTTATTGAATAAGTCTTAAAGTTTTGAACCGTGCAGTTTGAAAACTCCCACTGCTTTTTCAATTTTAAGGGTACCTATTCAATCTTTTGGTCGATATTGCCACTAAAGCAGACAGTAAATATTATGGCTTCACTTAGAAGAGCAAAGTAGATGAGTTACTTTATGAAAAACTTTTCACTAAAAAACAATCGTTCTGGAAAATCTACAGCCACTCGCGAATCAAATGAGTAGTCATTCACTCAACTTCTACTGTTGACTGCATCTGTTGAATGCTTTTGAGATCTTATAAGAAGTCACTAAAGAACAGATCGGATCGGAAACAATCTTCAGTAAAATAAAGATCGACAGTATAAAACTATCACCGGCGTATACTTTGCGATCTCCAAATCACGAATCATGTTTGTTTTCAGGTTGATTCCAAGTCTGCAAGGTTCAAACCAAAGAAGAAACAGATACTGAAAATTATTTAACACTATGCGTCATAGAAATAGAACATTAGAATAAAATTGATATATTAAAACCACAGAGCATAGGAAGAGGCATAACTCTCCCTCCGGCGTAACCAACAGCATTCAATTATAAGTGGATACCAATGTGAAATTGTGTGAACACATCACTTACACAATACTAATTAGGTAAAATGAAGCGTATGTACTCGTATTTGGTGTTAACTGAACGATTTTAATAATAAATTGCGAATATTGTAAACATCCCCCGAACAATGTTCAACATTTGTGTTCGCACTCCGCGCGCGTTTAGCATAAATCAAACGGCTCTGCGAATATTCATTGAATATTTATTTAATTTCAAATCTTGTTAATGTAATTAAAACATTTATGAAAATTAAATAACAATAGCAGTATTTAAAAGCGTCCAACTTGTAGATACTTTAAGTTTCCCTGAAATTGTGAAATGACATAATATAAGTCTACTTGTAGACCCTACAAAGTACCTTTAAAATTGAAAGTTTTGTCTTACTAAAGCTGTCCATTGTCCTAAACAACATTTGGTATGAATATTATAATATTTGACACACGATTTTCTATATATTCTCAAAAACCTGATCGAGGGACGTCACCTCGTCGCTCTATTATGGACGGGAGGTGTATGAATCTCTATGTGACTTCATGAAAGAATAGCAATAAAAAATACTCACAGCCATATTGGGTTCAGTGAACTCAAAAGGGGTGTTGGCATTGTTGTCCGTAGTGTCTCTATGGACAAACACGTCCTCGGCCGGGAGCCTTGCTGTCGTCGAGATGGATCTCAGAAGCACCTGAGAACAAAAAGTAGGTAAATAAACTTTACGATTTAGAAGGAAAACATACGGAGAGCAGTGGCGGCGTAGCATAGGTTGGCACCCGGGGCGGAACCCCCNGTGCCCCGCCCCTATTCGGACATAATAAATCCCATTACGAGCAACCGTTCACCTTGGTGACCCCGCACCAAATCCTGACCGTATTGCATCCCTAGGGAACATTCAATCGGGATAACAAATCGTCCAAGTTTTAATGTGGGTCCTAAGTTACGTCAATAAAATACAATCTCTTCGCTAAAATAGGTGGGTAGGAACTACTACAGAATTGGGTGATTGAATTAGTACCTGCTAAAAGGTTTCTCAGTGCTGAAATTATTTCAATCTCAGCACAAAGTTAGTGGGTAAGATGACAATGCAACATCATGACGTCATAGAGCTGATCAACTGATGATAGAGTCGGAAAGTGGCCGTAAGAACTCTGACGAAACGATGAAGCTCTGTGGAGTTAGGGCTCGTTTGATTTGTTGTGACAAGTACTCTGGTTTTAAATGATATTCAGGATCTGACCTGATAAATAAAAGCTTCCTTTAAAAAGTCTTAAAGTCCCGTTTCGTGTGAATTAATGTGAGTAAGGTGTTTATTTACAAAAGCAATAAAAATGGTTCTCCAATAAGCGCACATAAAATACACGTCCTACTCTTTCTTCCACCAATAGTTTCGTTTCCCAAACTTCGGTCACAGTCATTGAATAAGTCTTAAAGTTTTGAACCGTGCAGTTTCAAAACTCCCACTGCTTTTTCAATTTTAAGGGTATTCAATCTTTTGGTCGATATTGCCACCAAAGCAGACAGTAAATATTATGGCTGCACTTAGAAGAGCAAAAGTAGATGAGTTACTTTATGAAAAACTTTTCACTAAAAAACAATCGTCCTGGAAAATCTACAGCCACTCGCTAATCAAATGAGTAGTCACTTCTACTGTTGACTGCATCTGTTGAATGCTTTTGAGATCTTATCAGAAGAATAAAGAATATTAATAAAGAACAGATTGGTGACAATCTTCAGTAAATAAAAAGATCGAGAGTAAAACTATCACTGGCGTACACTTTGCGATCACAAATCACGAATCATTTTTGTTTTCAGGTTGATTCCAAGTCTGCTAGGTTCAAACCAAAGAAGAAACAGATTCTATACTGAAAATTATTTAACAGAATGCGTCATAGGAATAGTACATTAGAATAAAATTGATAGAGTAAAACCACAGAGCATAGGAAGAGGCATAACTCTCCCTCCGGCGTAACCAACAGCATTCAATAATAAGTGGATACCAATGTGAAATTGTGTGAACATATCACTTACACAATACTAATTACGTAAAATGAAGCGTATGTACTCGTATTTGGTATTAACTGAACGATTTTAATAATAAATTGCGAATATTGTAAACATCCCCCGAACAATGTTCAACATTTGTGTTCGCACTCCGCGCGCGTTTAGCATAAATCAAACGGCTCTGCGAATATTCATTTAATATTTATTTAATTTCAAATCTTGTTAATGTAATTAAAACATTTATGAAAATTAAATACAATAGCAGTATTTAAGTGCTTCCAACTTGTAGATACTTTAAGTTTTCCTGAAATTGTGAAATGACACAATACAAGTCTACTTGTAGACCCTACAAAGTACCTTTAAAATTGAAAGTTTTGTCTTACTAAAGCTGTCCATTGGCCTAAACAACATTTGGTATGAATATTATAATATTTGACACACGATTTTCTACGAATTCTGAAAAACCTGAACGAGTGACGTCACATTGTCGCTCTATTATGGACGGGAGGTGTGCGTGTAAGTGGGAAGGAGAGTCGCTTTCCAGGAAGAAATATTGGGTTGTAGTAATGTAATTAATTATTCCTTACTGATATCTACATTTATGTTCAATCTAGTTTTCTCCGTTGATTCGTTTTAGCAAAATCTCTATGTGACTTCATGAAAGAATAGCAATAAAAAATACTCACAGCCATATTAGGTTCAGTGAACTCAAAAGGGGTGTTGGCATTGTTGTCCGTAGTGTCTCTGTGGACAAACACGTCCTCGGCCGGGAGCCTTGCTGTCGTCGAGATGGATCTCAGAAGCACCTGAGAACAATAAGTAGGTAGATGAACTTTACGATTTAGAAGGAAAACATACGGAGAGGTGACGGATTATATCCTCATATTTGTTTTTATCACAAGATAGACAGTTGTTGATTTACTAACAATATTTTAAAGGAAGGTTAATAAAACAGGAGCTACTGTAACAGACTAGACGATATGTGGGGAAGCGAGTTGCTCCTTTTACCCAAAGCAGTAGACAGTCCATCTCAAAAAAAAGGAATAGGATTTGGAATTTATTATTCAGATAAATATTTTTTTCACATAATACCAACATTCAAGATATAAAATGCCTAGAGCTTGGTACTTACATTGGGTACATATTTTCTAATAGAAATCATTCCACAGGATTAGATATCAAATACTCAACAAATCGAAAACGAACGTTCAAAGGCCCATTTCATCCGTGTTTTCCTGAAACGTCAACATGTCAAAATCTAATCAACTATCACTCATCTGTCACGAAAAAAAAGATCTATTCAAAAAGGAGATCGAGTTAACCAAAAGTTTCTATTTATTTGAAGTAAATAACGTAACCAAACTTTGTACAAACAACAGCACATCAAGCCTAACACTGTGGTATCTTACGTATTTATGATAAGGGCTATTTTTCAACAAGAAAAAATGTAAGGCTTGATGTGCTATCGTCCGTACAAGATTACGTACCTAATGGAATACAGACGGGCGCACCCAATAGATGGGCCAATTTAATTAATATACGTAGTATACATCGGATTTGGTCGTGCCCTACAAACCCTTTGAGCGGCGCCTTGGGTCAAACGGAACGGATACTTTAAAGTATCGGTATTTTCAACCAATTAGGCAATAAACTTTATCAGATTTCTTAGTAGCCTAAAAAAAGTTTTGGAATTTTGCGTTTCCTTTCCATTTTTATAGACCATTTCAAATTATATTTGTTTCCAATAACTTTAAAAAAAATATTATCGTTTCAAGGCTGTGGAAACAATTTGCAAACATTTCAAAGTTAGCACGAAAAACTTTTCTCAAGATAATGAAATGTGATGCAAGTTGGATGCAAGTAAGTAAATTACCTACATATTATGTACGCACGGTTACGTAATGTATCTTTAACACTACTTAAATAATAAAAAGGCTGAGTTTTACCTACTTCGTATTTTAATTTCAAACCATCTTAGTACAAAGGACTAACAAAAGTACACACAAAAGTAAATGACACCTTCACAATATCCCCATTCTCCGTTGTAACAGAATGTTCAGTATTGCCTTCACACGCTTAGAACAAAGGTAAACTTGTCAAGAGGAGGGTCAGCGGGTATACCGATAAACATCATTTACTACACTGAAATCGCCTGATATGCGCTGGTTCGGCGAATCTCACCAATATCCAAGATATTCGCCTGGAGCGGTTTATGGCAATGAACCCCGATATTGCACCCTGGATATTAGTGCCTACTACATGATCCGACAACTGCCATCTTTTACCATCTTTTTCCAATATCCGTTAATATTGGTCGTAGCTTGTAACAACTTTGAGGTTGGAAGAATTTCCTTAATGCTTCCACACGATCTACTAAGGCGCTGAATTCTGTTATTTTGAATTGATATAAAATATTGTAGAGAATTTAATAATAAGTTGGTATTAACTGACCCTAGGAGTCTTAAAGAGCATAGAGCCCTCGTGAACTTCAAATAGTAGGTGGTAATAGCACCTTCTAGACTAGTAGTACAGACAATATTTTAGTAACCTCTCTTTTAAACAGATAAAATGTTTACGCCTTTTGTAATACTTTCAAAAAAGATCAGCTGTTTCAGAGATTACGCTCCACACAAAAATAAATAAGAAAAATCCAGACTATCTTTTTATAATATCAGTATTTAATTATCACCTATACCCAACGCTTACCAAGGGTAACTAAAGTTTCTCGTTAAAAAAATAATTCACCATCGCAGCGCAAAGTTCTGGAGCAATTTAAAAATTCCAAAAAACATACAACGAAAGATAAACCAACCCGCCATTATAGATGCAACAACGCTTCTTTTCTTTAACGGGAAAAATCTGCGAATTTTATCGGCAAATTTAATTTCTTGTTGACTGCGGCTGCCCTCATTCGTTAGATTGAAACAAATTTTCAATCAGGCCCAGGATTATTCAGGTTTAGGGCTCTTTTCCATTGCCATCCAGTTTTGCAGAATCCAGTAATACAGGATCGTATAAACTGACTTGGTGTTCACCGACAGTATCCCGTTTTTATCGTGTTTGATTTTTTGAGATAAGGGTGTTTGCAAAAAAAAATAATTATGCAGGATGTTGCAAGTGGAAATAATTCCCGTTTTCACCATAAATCCCTTATTTTTAAGTGAACCCTACGATACAATTAACAGGAATTTTGTTTTCATAGGAGTCACTTAAAAATAGGGATTGATGGTGAAAACGGGCATAAGTCTATTAAACCAGTCTGGTCTAGTTTAATGACAAAACCGAATTTGAATGGACCCTGCAAACGGGATGTTCGTGTGAATGTATTAAAACACTTATACTGCTAATGGGATCCTGGAAAAAGTTGTTTCAGTAAAAAACGATACGTCACCATGTAAACGAGCCCTTATCAGCACGGTTTACACGACGTCGTTCACTGATTCGTCAATTTCATCATCGCACCACGAAAACAAGTTAAATTCAAATTCGGAATCTTTAATTCAATCAATTCCACTTTGTTCTGGAATGTACAAAATTGATAAAGTGGAAATTACATTCGGCGGGTTGTGTTCGCTGGTGTTTTATGTTTTGAAAGGTCTGATTGGTTCAGATTCTGATTTATTATGAAGAGATTTAAGCCAACGATTGTTTGAATTGATTAAAAAACCGCATATCGAATACAAACTTATATTGTTTGATGGACAGGAAAATGTTTTAAAAATGTAATTAAATGCTTACAACTTGATACGACAATTACTAAGATTGTTATGTAAGTAGGTACAAAGAAAAAATAGATATGCTATTTGAAAAACAATCGTTGTATAAAAGAATACTTTTTTGTCGGATAATAAGATCCAAACTTAAGTGTTTTATGTTACGATGAATTCGTAAAGGAATTTTAATAAATAGAAACTCTTCGTGAACTTTTGAACTCAAAATCCCGATACAAAGTTCTGCAATGAGAAATCCATTCGACCGAGTACCACTTTGCTTTGATATTATACATATACACAACAGATGGCACACTCCAGGAGGCTTGATGGCTACTCAGGCTTGAGAGCCTCGAGTCCACTACAATGGAGGACCTAGTATATCAGAACGCTGTATCGATGTCAAATATTTGAGATCTATTGCCTATACAGGGTGTAACAGGGGGAGTGGATCATCGTAAGTCAAACGATGAGGGACTTCAATACCTATCGATATAACCCCCATGTATGTTCCGCGATTTTCAATGGTTCCAAAGTTATTGAGATTTTTGTGACATTTAAGTAAAAAGCCAGAATTCAGTATAAAAGTCTTTACTGTAGCTTAACTACTGGACCTGTTTGCATGATTTTTAACAAGTTTGAATTATTTCTAACAACTAGAGGCCTTCTAGTGAAAAAAAGTACTTGAATTTTTCAAACAAAGAAAATTACATAATTTTTTTTATTCTTTTTTTACGAATCGGTATCGTGATTATTAAGACCCACTATTGAACTACTTCTAGAAAAAAAATCATGCAAGCAGGTCCAGTGGTTAAGCTACAGTGAAGACTTTTATACTGAATTCCGGCTTTTTACTTAAACACAAAAATCTCAATAACTTTGGAACCATTGAAAATCGCGGAACATACATGGGGGTTATATCGATAGGTATTGAAGTCCCCCATCGTTTGACTTACGATGATCCACCCAAATAAAAAAAAAACCAAACCTTAGTATCTGACATGGGAGCGGCACGGGTGGGTGTTTTTTGTAACGCAGCGAAATTTTACATCTTCTTCAGATTTATAATGCTCTGTCACATTAATGATGTCTCACGCCTATAGCACTTGATAATAAACACTCTTTCGACCCACACTGCATAGAAAACAATATTAATATCTGAAGCTTTCTATTGATCTTTGAACGCATCAGGATGAAAGTCAATACCACTTTGATGTTCAATACTTAGTCACGCCAAAGTATTTCGTAATACTGCTATTGTTAACGGAGTTTCGGCTACAATAAATCTTCGGCATGGATTTCAAATAATTTAGGGCTCGAATTTGAAATTTGACTAATTCCATATTTTGTCAAGTTCAAAGGGAAAGTTCAGTACAAATCTGGGGTGAAATAATTTATGTCAGGGATTTAGCTGATGCGACGTAATGAAAGGGAATCCCTTTAAAGAGCCGGCATGAGAATCTCCAATAGAGTTGTCCTTTGTCCCAGCTCGAATTTAACCATTGCGTAACAAAAATCTTACGGAAATGTTAGCAAACAAAATGGAATTTCGAGAATGAATAGGATAATGTACCTACTCGTGTGCAGGATTAAAAAACTAAATAGAGTTATCCAAAAAAAGTCGGTAAAGAGCTATATCAGCAAGGCTCTCAATTAAAATATGAGTGTTTTTATTCCCTTAGAGTAATTACTTCAAAGTAAAGATTTTGCTATGCATCTGTGAAGCAGGTATTTTTGTAAAGCGGATTATGTAAAAACGCATTAACTTCTGAATAAATCCACAAAGTCCGAATATATTCAAGTCCATTCCGTACCCAAGTGTGTAAATACCAAAGGTACACAATATTTCGGTCACCTTCAAAAACACGCGATGGGTAAACAAAACACTCCATTTTAACGGTTGGATGTGAAGCTTAGTTATGGAATCGGAGAGGGGACACCGAACGGTTCATTCCCTTTGTTTTATGGCACAATTAAGAGCCGAAGGGACGCCCCTGGTGTGAAGAGTACATTTTTGCCCACGCAATAAAAGAAACGGCACCATTTAAATAGCAGATTGAAAACTCCTAACGATCCGTGTTAACTTTTCAGATCACTACGAACCAATTCTTATTAACTATTAAATTAACTCCTTAAACGACCCTATTTTCCTTTGAGCAACTTTGCTTTGCTTACTTGAAAAAAACATTTAACAATTTATCTGAGCACGCTGGCTGTGTTGCTTGAACTGAAACTTTTCCATTTAAACTTAGAGATAGCCCCATTTTATTGTAAAACCGCTGTAGATTATAGTTTTTAGTTTATTTCTTTTTGTAAAGCCTATAAAAGTAGAGTGAAACATTTTCAGTCTAACTTGGCAGTCGAGAATGCATATTCATCAAATAGAAAAGTAAAAATCATTTAACTTACACCACCATTTCCATTAGCAAGTTAAAAAACATACAAAAAATTAATGTCTACACGTGTTTTTATCAAAGCGAAACGAATTCGGAGTGTTGTGGAGCACAAAGTCGTTGACACAAAAGGGTCATTTTTTACAAGAGCTT